GTCACTCCTTTTTGCAATGGCCAGGTAGCTGGGAGCAGACTGTTCCGGGTACGGGTACCCTTCCAGCGGGAGGGCCTGGGACAGCCTGGGAAGGCCGACTGTTACGGGTACCCTTCCAGCCTGGGACAGCCTGGGAAGGCCTGGGACGCATTGGGACAGTTGTACAGGCCTTTTCAAACTGGGGGCCTGCTATTACTGCTTGGCCGTGCTTTTTTAATTCCCCTTTTCAAACTGCGGCCATGTCTTCAATGCCCTCCTCTGTGTGTGTGTGTGTGTGTGTTTTGCCGGGTTGGTGCTAGGGGTGCTGGTAAGAGCAGACACCGCTAGCACTCCCAGGGAGGCTTGTGTCTTCTTTGCCTTTTCGAACTTAAAACCTGCCGCGTTCGCCGTTCTTTCTAAAAGTTATTATAAAACAAAATAACAAAATAAAAGTACAGTGAAGTGAAAGAAAACAACGAAGAGCCTGATCGGGTGCAAATTTACTACAAACAAGTGTAACAATGGGCCTCACACCGCTACTCTCTACAGGCACAAAAGACAAAAATCATGGAGTCCGACTCACTGAGGGGTGTATCTTTCCATGTTCTGGCGGAAGATTCGCTCTCGGTTTTCACATTTCGAGAGTCGTGTGGTGAGGCCCAATGGAATGATCTCATGCAGGTTGTTGTTGTTGATGATGATGATGATGATGATGATGATGATTGGGGTGAAAGAACTCGCAACAAAACCCTCACCACAGCAGCTGCAGTAGCGCACGAGAGTAATGCGTCTCTGACTGAATCTATATACAAAACCCATGACGGTTCAAAACACTCGCGGAGTCCTTCTAGAAACATTGCGTTAAAACTTAAAACTGGAATGATACAAATGAGATAGGAAGCGTTGCCCTTGCACAAGGATGACGCACATAAATGGAGAAATGGCATGCCCAATTTTTTTTTTTAATGAAAGGAATGTTCGCTGAAAATCCATTAATTAACATGTTCAGCACACAAAAATACCGCATGCGCATCATTAAAAAAAAAAAAAACAGACTCTGTCAGGGGCAGCCCACTCTGTCACACCGTCACCATTAAACTTATTTTAGTCCACCGTCTCATTAAAAAAAAAAAAAAAAAAAAAAAAAAAACAAACAAACTGATTTTAGTCCCCCTCAAGAGATCCGGGAATTTGCTGAGGGAGGAAGGCAATTCAGTGGCGAACCGGGGGGGGGGCTGCCTTGACAACCTATGGATCCGGGGATAGTCTAGGTGGCGAGAACAAGTCAACTACGGTTGGCATTAGTTTGGATGACATTGCCTCTGAGATGTAATGTCCTGGTGCAGGGAGGGCCAGGAGTTGTTCTTTTTTTTTTTTTTTTTTTTTTTTTTGACAACACACCCCCGCCAGTGTTATTGTTCTAGGATTAGGAGGCCAGAATTGCTGATATGATAGCATAGTCTTCTATATTTTTAGTAATTTTTTAAACACTTGTCATCATCATCATCATCATCATCATCATCATCATCATCAAAAAAACAAAAAAAACCTTGTCTGGTGTTCTGTAATTCTTGGCAGCATCTGGCCTTCTTCCTCCTTTGGATATAGGATTTCAGAGATGGTCGAATCTGGATTCTGGACTGATATTGACAGAGTTGCTTTGTTCTGTGCCCCTGGTTTGCCTATGCCAGAACGACGCTGGGCGGAGCTGCGCCAATGCCCTGTAGCCTGCAAATGGCAGGAGTCTGAGGCCTTGTAGAGAGATCTGGGGTTTTGCTGAGGCAGGAAGGCAATCCAGTGGCGAACCGGGGAGCCTGCCTTGACAACCTATGGGTCCGGGGATAGTCCAGGTGGCAAGAACAGGTCAACATTGGCTGATGTTGGTTAGGATGGCATTGTCTCTGAGATGTTATGTCCGGGTGTAGGGAGGGCTAGGAGTTGTTCTAGGATTAGGAGGCCAGAATTTGCTGATAT